AAGTTTCCCTATTACCCCACACCCTACCGCTGGTTAGCGGCAGAATTCAGAATTAAATTTGCAGCCTCTTAGAGCTCTTCCCAGCACATCCCAGCTTCCTGCACTGTGTGAGGTGCTTGCACCATGGTATTTTCCTAAAGACGGACTGAAGCAGCTCTGAGGCATCGTGGGGGCATTTAACTTACAGAGATGCACCAGCTGGGAAAAATAAAGACAGTTCCGTCCTTAGACTGTGTTACAGTTTATAAATAGTGATTGTTTCTCTTGGTTTTCCCGGCCCTTCTTTAGGGGAAAGGGTCACTCTTGTCCCGCTTCCTCATTAAGGCTGGTCTGAGAGTTGTACCCAGCCTCCTGCTCCTGCTGGAACTTGGCTTTTCCCGCTAGCCTCTGCTGTCTTCAGGCTGTAGAAGCTTGTCTGATGTGTTGGCCATGAGGGGAAGAGGGTATACGTGAGCCCTGGAGAAGGAGTGAAGGTGACAAAAGAGGGATGCACGTGTGGTCATGGTATTGAAATCTTCTAGGACACTCTGTCTACCTGGAGATACCACTTCCGGATAGCATTTATAGGAATTTACACTTGCTAGGTGAAAGAGACGCTAATCTCCTGCTGTTCTCGATTATCCCAGACAGTGGCATTCATTACCCAACAAAGAGAATTTCGGTATTCAGTAAGACTCTGGAATTTTAACATTTCTTTTTTCCTACGCTGTGCTCCATGCTTGGAAAATTCTAGATAAACCCAGGCCAAATGAATTTGTTAGGTTTGCCGTTAACCTTGCAAAAACATCTTTTACTTAGAGCCACCACCATAACCCATCCATCCCTCCTCATTTGTTTGTCACCTCAGTTGCATGAATTGAGTGCTTATGCCGTGCTAGTATTAAAGACTTTTTCGTCAATTCAATATCAAGATTGCAGTATCGTGGGAAGGAAATTCTCTAATTTTAATTCATTTCTATAATATTTGTTATAATCAATGAGATAGAACCTATTCAATTTTTTGAATTTTGTTTAGATTTCTATTTTAAAGTAATTTTAAACGAAGAAAAATTGCGAAAACAGGACAAATCATTCTCTTATATCCCTATCCCTGCTTCTCCTATACTCCTGCAATACTGTTAGTGTATTTTATAACCACAGTGTAATTATCAAGGGCAGGAAATTAACATTGGCACAGTATTATTAATCCACCTTATTTGAATTTTACCAATTTTTCTACCAGTGTCTCCTTTCTGTCTTAGGATCCCACGTTCCTTTAGACATTATTTCTTTTTAATCCCCTCCAGCCTGTAACATTTCCTCACTTTCCTTGTTTTCATGATCTTGACACTTCCAAAGGTTATTGGTCAGCTGCTTTATAAAGTGAGGCTCAATTTGGGCTTGTCTTATGTTTTCTCACGATTGAAGTGAGGTTATGCATTTTTGGTGAAAATACCATATAGATGATGCTTTTCTCCTTCCCAGCACATTGTACCAAAGTGTTCATGATGATGTTGATGTGTCTTATTTCCAGTGACATTGACCTCAATCTCTTAGTTAGGTTGCTGTCTACCAGTTTCTCCACTGCAAAGTTGCTGTCTTCTCCTTTATGACTGATAAATATCTTGAGGGGAGATGCTTTGAGGTTATGCAAATCCTGTTTCTCTTCAAACTTGGGTTCACTAACGTAAGCACCTATCAGTAGATCTTGTCTGCAACATTCATTAATGTAAGCCTAAGGGTGATACTCTTCCCTTTCTTTTTCACAGTTATTAATTGGTGTTCTCTTACAAGAAAGCTGGTTTCTGTATTTGATTACTTATTTATATTAATATGGACTCATGGATATTGATTTTATTCCACGGATGAATATGATACTATTATTAATTATTTTGTCACTCATATTTTTCCAGCTTTGGCCATGAGAAACTCCTTTAGGTTGGCTTCTGCATTCTTCGAACAAGGATTCCTTTCTTTCTGTCTTTCTTGAGTATTTCCTCATTTTCTGGCCCCATAAGATGTTCCAGACTCATCCTGTATTTCCCTGTTCCAGCCTGGATACAACTACTTCTCCGAGGAGGAGCCTTATTTATTTTATTGGATGATGGTGTTTAGAGACCAAGATACGGGCACTGAGTGTGCTCATGGTTTCTGGGGGTCATCGGTTCTAAGCCTCTCCACGAACAAAGCAAGGACATATATGTATGCACACTAACCCCTGGACACACATATATCTACATTTTGCATCTATGTATGTATTAGAAACCATGAGTCTGCACCAATACCTCTGATTCCAGGCCAACTCCACACAGTTCATTTTAGCCTTCCCCTTTTCCTTGTAGCTTGTTTTTCCAACAGTAACAAAACTGGTTTTCATTCTCTCCAATGTATGTACATATTTGCAGGGTAGTTTAATTCCAGCACACATATTAAGTAGTTTCAGAATTGCTAACCCATAGTTCAGAGGGATCTTTTTGTCTTTAGCTTTATGCTATCCAGTCGAGATACTGTTTTCTGATATTGCTTATGTTGGTTCTTTCCTTCCCCACCCTTCCATGTAGTTTTGTGATTTATCTGAAGTAGGGTTTTACTTTGTTGTGGTGTTGCTATTCTTTTTTGGGTTCCCCCACGTCCTGATTGCTTTTTATTGTTAGTTTTGTTTTTGGAGTGTGCAAAAAGTATGTGAAACCCCACTATGGGCTAAGACTGGACGTTATACCAATAAACATACCCCAGAGAAGTGCTTCTCCTTCCTCATGCAGACACCTCATGCCCAATCCCTCCTTCTTCCCACCCACCCCCTATACATAACCAACCTCTGGTTTCTGGTTTCTGCTTCCTGTGTTGTTTTTTTTGTTTTGTTTTGTTTTGTTTTTTCACAAATGAGGATGTATGTATGTGTATTTTCTTAGATCCCTTTCTTATATGATGGGTCACATACTATAGATGGTCTGTTGGACTTCACATGCTCCATGATGAAAATCACCACAATCAGTTTATAGAGGTCTTCGTTCTTTCTTGCAGCTGTACCATAGTACCATTGTATGGATGAACCATAGTTTGTTCAGCCACGTATTGTTTCCAATGTCTTGTCATTACAGAGCTGCAATGAACATCACCTTCTGCATATCTATTTTTGTATTGTTAGAGGTATATCTTCCCGGAAGTGATGTAGTTCAAAGGATAAGTGTGTATTTTATCAGGTGTTGCCAAATTTCTCTCTAAAAGGACTGCACTATTTTTCAGTGCAAAGTATGAGGACACCTTTTTCCTCACAGCCTCACCAATACAGTGTGCCATACTTTTCTTTCTTTTTTGGGAGGGCATCGGGGAGCAGTTTCATAGGTGAAAAATGGCGATTCAGTGAGTCTATTTCTATAATTTGGCGTGCGTTTGGTGCTTTTTAATGTATCTGAGGACCTTTTATATCCTTTTTGTGATTTGTCCGCTCATGTCTTTTTCTCCTGTTTCTACTTTTTTTGTCTTTTGTCACCTCGATATTTTAGAGTTTTTTAAATACATAATGGATATTCACTCTTTGTCCATGGTACATGTTATGAATAATTTGTCCCAGTTTGTCAGTTGCCTTTTGTTCATGATGTCTTTGTGAGGCAAAAAAAAACTTAAAAATGTTTATGTAGTCAAATGTATCACTCTTTTATTGCTTCTGGATTTTGAATCCTCCTTAGAAAGCCTTTCCCTATGTAAGGTTAAAGAGGAAGTCACCCATGTTATGAAAATAGTTTGGAACATTAAAGACATACACATGGTAGGGTTTGTTAAGATTCCTTTGCAACTGGGAATGTTAAGACCCCTCCCTTATTCTTCTAAATAAATGCCTGGCCATCAGCCTTCCCGGCTGAGTCCTGTTATCAATTGTCATCCACTACTTAGCAACTAATCACCCCATCTTCAAGCTTCCCTGGTCTCTTTAGACCCAGGGACCCCATCTAAAACTACGCGGGGGTATTGAAGACTATCTCGCCTTCGCCAGTGCTTTTTACTCTTAAGTGAATTCTGTTTTGTCCTGGTAGTATTATTAAGTATTAGCAACTTTAGAAGTTTCTGCTGACTCAAGCCCAGGGTCGGCACCTACTCACTTTGCCTCCCTTCCCTTTCTGCCTCATCTCCTTTGTTCTCCTAAAATTCACCTTCCTCCTCTTTCAGAGACCATTCAGCCACAGCCTCTCAGTGGACGAGTGAGCACCTTCACAGCTATGCCTTCTGCATGACGCACATCATAGCCAAGTGATAGGGCGTAAACCCGACAGAGTCAGGCCCATCCAGCAGAACACAGATATAACGTCATCTGAAAAACATATGAAAATGAGTCTTTTCCGCATGTTGTAGATAATAGTAGCTACAAAATATACTGAAGTATTTAAGACCTATACAAGTGTTAGGTTTTCTTCATGTTCATTATGACATTTATTTAAGCACCTTAGCAGGATTTTGTTAGCATAGTATTTTGCATATCAGTAAATAAAGAACCTCAGTGATGTCTGAAAGGAAGACAGTCTTTCAACCTTCCTCTCTCCCTTTCCTTCCTTCTCTCTCTCCCTCCCTCCCTCCCTCCCCGTGTAAACCAAAGGGTGAAGTCTGTCCTGAGGCCACTGGTTTTGGAAGGTCAGAATGACCTAGCAGTATGCTTAGGAGAGAAGCCATCTGCCAGGAAAACCCAAGATAGAGACAGAAGCCACAGGGCTTGCCACTGCATAGTCATGCATTTCCATTTGTAACGTTGACTGGTGTTGGACGTTTTAATAACTGACCTACAGACCTCTGCTGGTTGTCTCTTGATAAATATTTACTATTTGGGTTAAGCAGTGACGGGCCAGTCTCAGCTTCATTCTGAAGAAGTCTAATGGAAGGCTGAGACATACTATGTAATAACACGAGCTTCTGAAATTCATACAGTGGCTGAAGGGAAGAAATGAGAGGAGGAGGATAAACATAGACCATTCTTGTCTCCCACCATGTTGATTGATTGATTGGTTGTTTCTTCATTTATTTTCTTTCAGGGACCCTCAAAGTCTGGACCCACCGGAAGTGAGCAATGCGAAGCTTCAGTATGCAGGGTGGGGCCCCAAAGGCCAGCAGCTGGTAAGCCAATCGAGCTCAGTGACCAGGTTTGAATTTGATGAAGTTTACACATTGTAGGCGGGATCCGCTCACTACGTTCAGGGTCTGTGTTTGCATGAGTTGAAATTTGGAAAGGTACACCAGAATATTCGCCTGTGTAAAATGGACATTTCTTTTTTTGATTAGAGAATTATGTAACACGGTTCCCAGATCTGAGACCCTTGAAGTGGTCCCCACTTAGCTAGCTGCGTGTAGACTCCAGACGTACCGTGAGGTCAAGGAGATAAACCTTGTCGAAAAGACCAATGGGAATTAGCAGAGTCACGGAGCCGTTGCGGGTTTCTTTCGTTTTGCTCTTGGAAGCCTGGCTCTGTTCTTCGGAGGGTTTTGGGAGAAGGTGGATTTGCTGGCCATCGTGGAGCCGTCCTCCCTGCGAGCGGCGTCGGCATGCGGCCAGCGCTGCCTCATGGCTTCACATCATGTCCTTCTGCGTCTTGATGCTGATTACATACAGCGGCATTTTAAAAACACTTTTCCTAAAATAACACAGAAAATGATTATTTTAAAAAGCTTGAGGTGAGATCGTATTGGACAGTCTGTCTGTTGTCTTAGGAATTGAAATAATCTTATTTTTCCCAATGGTATGGTTATACTGGTTGCATATTAATTCCATTTCCTTGAAATGACTTAAGGAAATAGGAAGATACAGGCCACAGAACTGTCCTAGCTACGACTAAAGGGTCCCCGGTGCCCGACACACAGCGATCAGGATTCGAAAAGCATGTTTAGCCAGTGGGAGTCAGCTTGTGACTTGGGGGGAAGGGGGAGGCCGGGAGGCGGGTGAACACCCCCCGCCAACTCAGTTACAAGGAGACGAAACTCACCTTTCCTCAGAGACGCTAACTCTTCCACAAGGAGAAGCCGCGACGTCATAGGAGGTTGTGGAAGCCCGAGACTCGCGTGACTGAGTCTCCAACAGCTGACTTTAAGTCCCTCTGATGTCATGATGGAAGGTGTGTCTGGGAGCAAAGTGCACCCATATCCGTCAGATCACTCCGTACAAGTGACATGTTGCCTCCACAGAGGCTCTCCCAAGTCTCCACGGCCCTCGGGCAGCCCGCTGCCCACAGCCTTGCACGCCGGCCTCATTCCCCCACGCGGGGAAGAGCTCACGGGTGGGCAGCCTTCCTGAGGGGCCACTGCCCAGCCTCCGTACAGGCGTCAGGGTGAGGACGTTGTGACTCACACACTGGTCAGCGTCTCTTCCCGGCAGGCCCACGGCCTCTTCCCTTGTGTCCCGGTGATTATCACTAAGCTTAGGGCCTCACGCTTCCCCATCAGCACTCAGGAGAGGCCAGACCCTGGAACCAGGGTCGCACAGCCTGGTCCTGCCTTCTGGAAAGGGCTTTTGGTTTACGGTAAATTTAACCCACAGTTCCTAAAGAAGGACGGGTGTGAGCACGTGCGTGCAAGCAAACACACACACTTTAGAATTCTGTCTGGAATTTGCAGGTAGATGGAGCTGCAGAATGTTCCCTCTCTAGGCCACTTACGTAGTAGGCCAGCCCCTTCCGTATCCGAAGCTGCTCGTGCCCGGCTTTCCAGGGGTTGGGGGTGGGCTGAAGGGTCACAGTCATCCTGCTCAACCTCTTAAAGAACTGGCAGCAAAGCTAAGTAGGCACCAGGTTCTCTGAGAAAGCGTCCCTGACTCCACTCCCCACTGCTGGCTCCGTCTCTGGACTCCCGTGTCTCCGTGCAGACTCCCCTCACTTGGATTTCTTGGTGTGAACTTGGGGTCTCTCCTCTGTTCCTCCAGCTTCATCTGGGCATCCAGCTCCGTCATCTTGTATTCTGAGTGCCTAGCCCAGCGCCTAGTGCTCAGGATACATTTGTTGAGGTCAAAAATGGATGCATGGAGGTGCCTGGGTGGCTCAGTCGGTTAAGCGTCCGACTTCGGCTCAGGTCATGATCTTGCAGTTCGTGGGTTCGAGCCCCGCGTCAGGCTCTGTGCTGACGGCTCGGAGCCTGGAGCCTGCTTTGGATTCTGTGTCTCCCTCTCTCTCTGCCCCTCCCCTGCTCGTACTCTGTCTCTCTGTCTCTCTCTCAAAAATAAATAAACATTAAAAAAATGTTTTTAAATGGATGCATGAATGGGTTTATTACATAATATATCCTTGTGACCCTCAGTCACTTAAACACAAAGTGACTGGGTGCAGACAAGCAGCCACGATCTGTGTGGATGTTCAGGACATTACTTAACAGTAGGGAAGTTCAACTTCCTTTCTGCTCCAAGGAAATGAATGTTCAGGTAAGTAATAATTGCTAGTATTTGGGCTTAGTACCAAAAGTACTGATGTGCTCAGGGAATTTTTCAGTTATTAACATTTTTGAACTTCCAGTTTTTATTATACAGTTCTTGTACCGAGTGTGGTCGGTAGGCAATATAACTCACCCCGGAGAGCGTCGTGTACAGGATGCAGGAGTCAGCACGCTGTTCCTCTTAAGGGGCCAGGTAGCAGGTGTTTTAGGCTTTGCAAGCCCGCACAGGAACGTCTGGGTCTCAACTCCCCACTGTGCTGTTGTAGAGAGAGCGGTTGTAGTCAACACAGAAAGAGATGGACAGTATTTTGTTCTGATAAAATTTTATCTGGGGCGCCTGGGTGGCTCAGTCTGTTAAGCGTCCGACTTCGGCTCAGGTCACGATCTCGTGGTCCGCGAGTTCGAGCCCCGCGTCGGGCTCTGGGCTGATGGCTCGGAGCCTGGAGCCTGCTTCTGATTCTGTGTCTCCCTCTCTCTCTGCCCCTCCCCCGTTCATGCTGTGTCTCTCTCTGTCTCAAAAATAAATAAACGTTAAAAAAAAAAAATTAAAAAAAAAAAAAACTTTATTTACACACACAGATATTCTGGCCCAAAGGCTGTGGTTGCTGACCCGTGTTTCGGGGGGATCGTATGCTCTCTTGGCCGTCCTCAACTGAGGAGAGCCCGGCCCGGGGACCAGCACCCTGGTGACAGGTACTCCCGGGGCTCGCTTTCTCGGCAAAGAAAGTCTGCAACCCGTGAGCAGGCTTTGCAAAGACACTAACAAACCCCTCATTGCCAGTTTACTTGAAAAAGCAAATAATACTCCCCGAAGGAAATCTACTCTAATTATAAAGAGTCAGACTAAAATGAGTGATGCTCCTTCGGGAACAGAGAACACAACTGGAGTTCAAGTTCACCGGAGGGCTTTCTGAGCATCCTCACCTCCTGGTGAGGAGTGATTTCAGCAGCCCCTTTGGCTCGGGGACCCCGTAAGTCCCAGGGAGACGGCACTCCACCCTGGGAGCAGGCTAACGGCGTTCTCTCGTATCTCCACACGGCCTCCAGTTACTGACTCTTGCCTCCTAGGGTAACTTTTGTCGGACCTTCCGTTCACATCTTAGGTAATAAGTACTGCCTGATGGGCCTGTTGTTAGAGGAGCCGGCTGAGCCTAAAAATAGGCAAATGGATTTGGCTAGATTAAATGAGATTAAGGGAGAAAATATATGTAAAGGGTTGAGGAAGTGTCTTCCCCTCCATCTTAATGTGGTCAGTGGACATAGCCATTCACATTGAAAACACGTGATTTCCAAAGTTTTCCCCGTACTTTATCCCCTGCAGATAAACTTTGGCCTACATGGAGTGCTTCTCTGAGTTTCTCTTCTTCGATCTTTGGTGAAGCCCTCCCCCTTACGTGTGTGTCTGTTCATGTGAAGTCCTGTCTCTGCCAACCTTCAATATGACAGTTTGTCCGTCTGAACGTAGCCTTGCATCTTCTAATACATAATCTCTGCAAGGACATCGTTTTAATGTTTGTTTATTTATCTATCTTGAGAGAGAGAGAAAGAGAGCACGCAAGCAGGGGAGGGCCAAAGAGAGAAGGAGAGAGAATCCCAAGCAGGCTCTGCACTGTCAGCGCAGGGCCTGACGTGGGGTTCGAACTCACAAGCCGTGAGGTCACGACCTGAGTTGAAATCAAGAGTCAGAAGCGGGGGCCTCCTGTGCGTCTCTAGCACGCTCCTGGAGCTCAGGCCCCCTCGGCCTGTCTTAGCGGGTTAGCGCGCACGCCTAGGGTACTTTGGAGAATTGTTGCATGTTTCCCTTTGGAGCCAAGTGCCGTGGAAAGTTCTACAAATGTGATTGCACGGCATTAGACAACAGTAAGGATTGGAGGCTGGCATCTTTGCTGGCCTACTCGGATGATCAGAGGCAGAAAATGGTCTCCTGTTCGGTTGGCCTGCTACCACGATGGTGACAAACGGACAGCTTTGAAAGGGGAGCCTCATAAGCCCCTTGGGAGCTCTTCAACACCGAGGTGGCTTCAGCACCTGACAGATGACGAGCAGATGGGGTAGCCGGCCGGGAAACCTGTCAGAACTGCCACCGGAGCGGTCCCGGCATGCAGGTGACAGTCCAGCAGAAGAACACGGAGGGATGCTCACAGGCTGCGCTCTCCCGCGTCGAACCGGAAGCCGACTCCGTCGTAGTCTCCCGAGGCACGCAAGGCTGCGGTGTGGATGACAGTGAGAGACCGCTCCGTGTCTTCCTGGAAACGAGGGAATAAAATTAACTATGTTTACCCAGATGGGGGGACTTCAGCTACACTGTGTGAAAAATTGCCTTGATTACCTGGCTTGATAGACCCGAGGATACTTCTCCGGGGAAAGTCATGGACAGAATGACTCCCCAAGGAGAGTTGAGGAATCTGCTTCAGTGGCTTCTTTGTAAATGGCTCAGATAGCAGCTCTCCTGACGAGGTCGCAGGACAGACTGGACTCTGCAACATTCTCGGCCCCGAGAGCTCTCGGGTTGACGGGGGTGACTGGCGGTTGCTGTGGTTGGTCAGCCAGCGACCGGTGAGGGACCTGAAGGCCAGTCCTTTGTGCACACACAGTTTTGACCATCATTCGCTCACGCATTTGTTCACGGTTTAGTAAATTCCCACTGAACACTTCCTGTGGTCTAGACACTGGAGTTTCACTAAATGCCGGAGATGCAGAAG